GGAGAAAGGCTATGATAATTGAACTGGATGCTTTGTCTCGTAATAATACTTGGGAGGTATGTTCTCTGCCAGTTGACAAAACTCCCATTGGCTGCAAATGGGTTTATAAAATAAAGCATAAGACTGATGGGTCCATCGACAAGTACAAGGCACGTTTAGTAGCAAAGGGCTACTCTCAACTCGAGGGTATCGATTTTGTGGACACATTTAGCCCAGTGGCTAAGATGTCTACAGTCCGGACACTGCTGGCATTGGCATCTGCTCAGAACTGGCATCTTCACCAAATGGATGTATCGAATGCGTTCCTCCATGGTGATTTATCTGAAGACATCTACATGTTGTTGCCTCCGGGATATTGTGAACTTCAGGGGGAGCTGCATTCTGATCAGGCAGTATGTAAACTCAGAAAATCCCTGTATGGTTTGAAACAGGCTTCTAGGCAATGGAACCTTAAGTTATCTCATACTCTAATTACTGGTGGCTATCTTCAGTCACATTCTGACAACTCATTGTTTGTCAGACACGAGGAGCATGGTTTTGTTGCAATACTAGTCTATGTGGATGATCTGTTAATTGCTGGTAACAACATTACCATGATAGAATCTGCCAAACATCTCTTAAGCTCCAACTTTCAGATCAAAGATCTGGGTATTCTGCGTTTCTTCTTAGGCATTGAGATTGCGAGATCCAAATCTGGAATTCACATATGTCAGCGCAAGTATGCCCTTGAACTCCTGGATGAATTTGGTTTTCTGGGAAGCAAACCAGCATCCACACCAATGGATCCCAAGGACAAATTATCTGCTGAATCTGGTGATCTTCTATTGGATGTCACTCATTACAGAAAATTGATTGGGAAATTGATTTATCTGTCAGTTACACGTCCAGACATCAGCTATGCTGTTCAAAAGTTGAGCCAGTTTATGTCTCAACCAAGAACACACCATTTAACTGCTGCTCATCGGGTGCTTCGATATCTTAAGCGTTCACCAGCTCAGGGTTTGCTTTATCCTACTAATTCTGACATTCGACTAAGTGCATATACAGACGCTGATTGGGGGCCTGTCCAGATTCACGTCGGTCAGTTTCGGGTTTCTATGTTTTCCTCGGGAACTCACTAGTCGCATGGAAATCAAAGAAACAACAAGTTGTTTCGCGCAGCAGTGCAGAATCAGAGTATAGGGCAATGGCACAAGCTTCTTCTGAGCTTATTTGGTTTTCTGGTTTACTTAAAGATTTGAAGATTATTATTCCTTTGCCTGTGACATTATACTGCGATAGTCAATCTGCACTGCATATAGCTAATAACCCGGTTTTCCATGAGAGAACCAAACACATAGAGATCGACTGCCACTTTGTACGCGATCAACTGAAGAACGGTTTTCTCAAACCTCTGCACGTCACCTCTCGAGATCAGATTGCGGATGTATTGACTAAACCATTGGCAGGAGATTTATTTGTTCGGTTATTATCCAAGATGGACATTCATGACATCTTCAGCCCATCTTGAGGGGGAGTATCAGCATCCACAATACTCTTCTTTTTCCTCCTCGGTGGTTCTGTGCATAAGGTCACGATACTCTGTTTTTGGTTACATAAAACAGAGTATAGGAGGGTCCTTATTTTTATTCGGTTTGTATTTAGTGTACCAATCACCCGGTTCATTTTTATTCTCTTTGGTTTATATTATGGATTCTCCACGCATTTTGTATTGATTTAGAGTTTGTTAGAGTTTGTTAGAGGCAGATTTGCTGTATAAATACATGTGTAAGATCACACAGTAAGGTAGAGAAAATTTTCCAGCTCTCGTTTTCATTCTGATTATTGAAAGCTATTACTTCAAAATCAAAAGGAAAAAAAAAACTGGTTAAGAGAAAGGAAAGAATGAGAGAGATTCTGTAATATTCCATAACCTTATCAGCTCTTTATCTATTTCTAAGGGTTCTGTGATGAGCCACTTGCTTTGTCTTCTTTTTTCTTTTTTAAGATTTAATTTATGCTGCATTATTCTCTTCGAAATTTTAATTTTCAATATTTTTGGGCAAATATTGGATAATAGTGTTGGGATTTGGTAGAGGAAGAGAAATCCTCTAACTCTCTCAGAGGGTTATGATTTTGATCCGGTTTGATAAATCGGATGGTTCGGTTCAATATTAGTGAACCGGTTGGTTTTGTGACATTAGGGTTTGTTATAAACAACCCATGTTCTTCTTCTTCGATGGATCGATGGTTTTTGGTTGAAACGGCAAGGAGAGAGAAAGAAGAGAGAGAGTGCACTGAGAGGAAGATCGGAGGCGGAGCTCGACGGGATTCAAGTTGGAATCGGTGGTGGAGCTCAGGTAGTGTCCTTCTAACCTTGGTTTATGCGTTTTCTCGGTTGTTCTTTCTCGTTCTTGTACTTCGTCGAGCCACGGGTTTGTCGTGGTCGTCGGAATCGTTTCAGACCGGTGGTTCTTAGTGTATTGCCGGTGCCGCCCGGTCGAGATGTAGGCCCGAGCTTCGCTCGGTGACTGAACTCGTAAAAACCCCTCTGTGTCTTCATTCTTTTTCTGGTTCTTGCGAGTTTACGAAATCGTAGTACGAATCGGATCATGAACGAAGAAATAGTGAGGGAACACCATAATATACAAGAAATAGTTTAAACATGTTTCAATTTTTTCAGCTCTTGCTTTTCCTTTTGTCATTTGGAGGCATACCATTGTTTTGTGCGTCAACATTGTATCATTTGGGATAAATTACAATAAAAATCCTCCTAAATCCAATATACATTCGGTCTTTGACGTGACCTAAATCATGTGCGACTTCAACGTCACAACATCATAAATATGCAATCAATTTTCTGAATTATGCAATTGCTATATATGAATTTCAAAATTATATTTTGGTCCAAGAGAGGCATCATTATCAGATGAATTAACATTTATGCACACCCTTTTTGTATTGAATAGTGCCTAATTGTTGATTTAAATACATGATATTTAAAATTCCCTACTTATTTCCTCCGATGCAAAAAAAATAAATATATAAATTTTGTTTGCAAGTCCAAGGGGGTTAGTGTGATAGTAAAAATTAGCCAAATTTGATGTTTTATAAATATTCCCTTGTAAGTTGTAACCTCAATGCAGGGACGCGTCCCGCTATCAAGTAATTATCGGTAAGGGTGGCCAATTCGGGTTTCGGTTCGGGTTCGGTTCGGTTATATTCGGGTTCGGTTATTTCGGTTATAGAAAAACTATAACCATTCGGTTTTTATATAAATTTCGGTTCGGTTCGGTTCGGTTCGGGTTCGGTTCGGTTTTGGTAAAAAGTTCAAATTTTCAAAGAAAATTGTCGGTTATTCTCTCAGTTTTTTCGGTTATTTTTTATTCGGTTCGGTTCGATTTCGGTTTCGGTTTTTCGGATTTAAGGAAATCATAACCGTTCGGTTTTGATGTCGGGTTCGGTTCAGGTACGGTTATGTCTTATTCGGTTCGGTTCGGTTCGGTTATTCGGTTAATAACCGAAATGGCCACCCCTAATTATCGGCGTATAAAATCATTATCCGAATTAATTTTTAGTAAATAAAAATATATAAAGTTAAAACGCCGTAATTACTCGTTTACGAATTTATGATTAAAAGTTTATAATTAAAAAATGAACGGAAGCTACTGAATATTCAGTCTCGTTTTTTGTCGGCACGTGAAAAGTTTTGTGTCCATGAATCATTTTCTGTAACGACTTTTGAGTTTTGAAAGTAATAATTTATTTGGTTGTATTTGTTTTTCTTTAATCTAGATTTCCTCGCTTTTGTTTTTTAACTCGCGAGTTTATATTATAATTAGTACCATTACTATTTTTTTTTAATTTCTTTTCAATTTCATTACAATACATGTCAAATCATGTGTTAACCCGTGCTGAAGTCTATCTGCATTATAGGAGATATTTCCCACTATTTTCACAAAGAAATTCCATAATTTTTGTTTTATAATTTTCTATATGTGTTGCCTAGTCATATCTTAGATCATAGGTTTTTAATATATACGTTACTGATTTTCTTTAATTTTTTATAGTTTGAGGGAACGAGTTCTTTAATATAAATAGATTAACCCGATGTTTGCCTAAACCATATAATTAATTATGGTTAGGAAAACAACGTATGTTTGGATTATGTATGACGTGGAAGTATGGAAAGATGGCAATCAATTTGATGTGAGATGTATGAAAAAACCAAAGTCACCATCATTATTTGGTTACTGCTCTTAATTATAAATACTGATTATGTAACCTCTCCAATTGGATTGTTCCAAATTACTCGTTCTCATTGTAACAAAAAAAAACGCACATTTGATTTTTTTTTAAATTTTGGGTGGTTTACCAAAAATCTCTATCAAAATCTACTATGCGCAATAAATTCAACATTCTGTCATCATAATAAAAGAAATAAATATGAATTCGACGAATTGTTTGGTAAAACAACATAGTTCGATGATGTTTGGAGATATATTAAAAACGAATAATTACTTTTCATCAAGGCATTTGCCTCTTTTTTTTTTTTTGTTGATGAATACATCAAAATTCAAGGCATCAGTGCTCTATACATTTCCATTTGAAACAAAAATATTCATCTATTAATGAATGTTGTCGGAAAGATTGGTATAGTAGAAGCATCTGCCGAGTCCAATATATATATATATATATATATATATATATGTAAAAATATACGAATATTTATATATAAATATGCGTTTTACATGTATTAATTGTAAATATTATGAGATTAATTTGCTCGGTGAAGATTGAGAAAAATAAGAACAGATTCTGAAAGAAAAAAGACACGAAAGAGAAGTCTTAGGGTTGAAGAAGAATGCTCTAATTGTATTGTTTCTCTATCGTGTAATATTACATTGTATATGTGTACATATATAATGGAAAATAATCACTAAGTCAAAGGAAATAAAATAATTAGGGGAATTCTAAAGTGGAAAGTTTACATTTAGTTGCTGAATTTTGGTGAAGGAGAATCAATCTTCTAACGGCAGATCACGTGTTTGATGTTGTCCTGATTTATCATCTTGGATTGTTTCCTCTTTCTTATTCGTTGCTTCTTCTCCAAGTAAACCATCATCACGTTCATGTTCCGCCTCTTCTTGTACTTCGAATATAAGCTCGGTTCCAACATTCCCCCTCAAGATTGGCCGTAGGTTGTCGACGAGGCCAATCTTGCTAAGGAGTTTTTGAAGCACGTACGATCCCGTAGCTTTGGTGAAAATGTCTGCTAGTTGTTCCGAGCTCCGTGCATATTCTGTTGCTATAAGTCCTTGAGCGACCTTTTCTCGAATAAGATGACAGTCAACTTCTATATGTTTCTTTCTCTCGTGAAACACCGAATTAGCCGCTATATGCAATGCTGCTTGATTATCACAGTGTAGGGGCATCGGGAGTATACACGAGATTCCAAGATCATCCAAGAGATGTTTGAGCCAGATTAACTCGCATGTAGTGTTCGCCATTGCCCGGTATTCCGCCTCGGCACTTGATCGTGCTACGACATTTTGCTTCTTGCTCTTCCAGGTTACCAAGTTTCCTCCTAGAAACGTGCAATATCCCGTTGTTGATTTTCGATCGGTTTTGTCTCCGGCCCAGTCTGCGTCACAGTATGCAATTATTCCTACGTCGTTGTTGCACTTCATCCACAATCTTTTTGTTGGAGTTCCTTTCAAGTATCTAAGTACTCAATTGGCCATGCCCCAATGTAGGTTTGTTGGTGCGTGCATCCATTGGCTAACCTGGTTCACCGCAAAACATATATCAGGTCTAGTAATTGTTAAATAGATCAACTTACCTACAACGCGCCGGTATTGAGTAATATCCGGAAAACATTCTCCCTCGTGTTGTTGTTTGTAAGACGCCTCAAGCGGTGTAATGGCGGGTTTGGCACCGAGTTTGCCTGTGTCACGTAAAAGGTCCAGAATATACTTCGTTTGAGAGAGGTATATCCCTTCAGCGGTTTGTGAGATTTCAATGCCGAGAAAGTAAGTGAGGGGTCCCAGATCTTTGATATCAAAAGCCTGCTTAAGTAAGAGTTTTAGTATCCGTAATTCCTTGGGTATCATTCCCTGTAAGCACAATATCGTCAACATATACAAGAACGATAGTAATAAGATCATTTTTGCGAAGAATAAATAACGAATGATCTGCTTCGGGCCGAGAGAAACCATGAGATGTTAAAGCAACACGAAGCTTGTTGTACCATGCCCTCGGGGATTGCTTAAGGCCGTATATAGCTTCCGAAGATGGCAAACTTTGTTCGCCTCTAGAGGAAGTCCTCGGGGATTGCTTAAGGCCGTATATAACTTCCATATATATATATATATATATGTATGTACAAATATACGAATATTTATATATAAATATGCGTTTTACATGTATTAATTGTAAATATTCTGAGATTAATTTGCTCGGTGAAAGCTGAGAAAAATAGGAACAGATTCTGAAAGAAAGAAGACACGAAAGAGAAGTCTTAGGGTTGAAGAAGAATGCTCTAATTGTATTGTTTCTCTATCGTGTAATATTACATTGTATATGTGTACATATATAATGGAAAATAAACTATAAGTCAAAGGAAATAAAATAATTAAGGGAATTCTAAAGTGGAAAGTTTACATTTAGTTGCTGAATTTTGGTGAAGGAGAATCAATCTTCTAACGACAGATCACGTGTTTGATGTTGTCCTGATTTATCATCTTGGGTTGTTTCCTCTTTCTTATTCGTTGCTTCTTCTCCAAGTAAACCATCATCACGTTTATGTTCCGTCTCTTCCTGTACTTCGGATATAAGCTCGGTTCCAACATTAATGTTGAAATGTGTCAGAAGTTTAACTTGAAACAGTTGGTTGTTTGTCAACTAAAACTCTAAAGTTAAATTTTACTTGTCTTGGAGTACACAATTGTTCACTCCAACACAAGTACTCCAAGACAAGTTGTGTCACCTTTTTGCGTTATCAAATAGTGATGCAAAGGTTGAGTCACTATTGCATCACCCTTTGGTGACGTTTGGTGACGACATCTGAATTTGAGACGCTTTTGGTTGCGTCACTTTTTGAAAAGGGTGACGCAAAAATATATAAGGATGACACAAAAATTGTATCACTTTTTTGCTTTTTTTTTGTAGTGTCTATATAAACAAGTTTAATACATCAAACCATGTATAGGAAACAAATTCTGAATCGGAAATATATATCGAACCATTGAATATGATTGAGTTAAAATTTCAATACTTTGGTTTTTCTAAATCTTTAACAATACAATACTGATGGTATATTTTTGTATGTTTTGTTTGATTTAGAGATCAAATACGTTTTCCACATTTATTATTTTTTTTCCTTTAGAAAAAACTGTTATTGGGTGATTATTATAAAGTTAACACAACATAGAAAAAATATTAGACATTAACATAATGGAAGTTAAATGTAAAACTTCCAATATATACTACTAAGGGCCAATACATTCACACTCATACTAGACAATGGATAGATACTTCACGGGAGTTGAAACATAGTCTGGTGATCGCTGACGACTCGGTGATGATTTTCACGATAAAATTCGCCGAACCCTCCAGTTTCGAGGATGAAATCGTCGATCGCATAATCGAGTAAAGCGAAATCAATTGAATTAATATCGGCTAAAAGGTGAGAGATCGGATCCTGGTCGAGTGATTTAGGCCGAGTCGACAGTGTCGTCATGATCTCCCGTTCTTCTCCGTGTTCTTCCGTAGAAAGAGTTGTTTCCTCTGTTTGATCTAAATCTATGTCATTCTTTCCTTTATCCATATTCTTCTCTGCAACCTTCTTCTTATAAATCCTGCACAAAACCCACTTATCCAACCACAAGCCCAACCAAAAAAATAAATAAATAAAAATCAGCAACCTTATATTATAACCAAAATCATAAATTCAAACTATCTTCTTGGTTATCACCAGCATCATAGATTCTTGTTTTCTGGGATCATATTGTCGACGGAGCTTGTGCAAGCAATACTCGTGCATGTGCCAACCGGTTTTGGCCCCATCTTTGTACAAGGCGAGGGGTTTCTTGTAGCCCAAGGTACTCCGCCCTTTCTTTATAGTTGTGCCCACTCCACTCGTTTTCCAATAACCAGAACCCGATTTCCGGCTAAAATAATATAAAATAGGATCTAACCAGGTAATTGCCAGGGGTCGCATTTGCAGATATCGAACTCCGGGATGATGGGAACATAGGAGGATTTAGACAAGACCTTTTTACGTAGATAGTGAACGATTAGTTCTTCGTCGGTCGGGTGAAACCTGAATCCCGGAAGAAGCTTGCTCATGTCATTTTCCGACATCTTTTCAATTAGTGGAGATACTAAGATTTTTTTTTTTATGCTTTTGGTTTTTATGATTTTTTTTTTGTTCGAAAGGAGAGATAGATGGGCTTTTTATGATTGAGGTTTGTCGTCGTTTAGTGTGTTGAGTCACATGTTTTCTTCGTCGTTTACTATGTAATCATTTCTCTATCCAATTATTTTCATGTCATATTTGTTTTTATAGAACAATAATAATATAATTTAATGATCAGCAGACCGAGACTTCCTAAAATGTTTGTAAAAAGCCATGAGAATTATACACAATTAAAGGATAAAATTGGAAAAACTGATGATAAACTTAACCATATTTTACTATTCACAACATTTTTACAAGTTTATACATTTCAAATAAAATATCGCGTAAACTTTATAGTTTGGTTTTATTCGACTTAGTATGAAATAAATAAATATTAATATTTTATATTTGAATAAATAATATCGATTTTTTTAAAATCTCAATTTTGGTGGAATCATTCAGAAACAATAAACTATCATTTCAAGTGCAGTGGATTCGGCAATAGATCACATCATGTCTATCCATGCGAATAAAAATTCAGTATTTAAAAAAAATGAATTACTGGGAGGATTCATGGAATAGTTCGTCAATCAACACAAAATTTCCCGAAGAAGAACACTTCTGATGCATTTGGGAGAGCTTCTGGTTTCACTTATTTCTAGTAATCAAATCACACAAACATGGCACGCCACGGGGTCCTCGGACCAGCTCATCTAGTTTTCTGCCACGTGTCAAAGGCATTAGGATAAGGATCGAGGACAAAAAGCCCACGTGGGATTACGCTTTGATTAACTAATGAATTGGATTAGGGCTTACTATTTTAACTCTTGGTTCTTATCTACACACAATCATTC